CTGAGGATCCGCATACATTGCATCTGCTTCTTTTTTGTTTTGTTTTTGTTTTTGTTTTTGTTTTTGTTTTTGTTTTTGTTTTTGTTTTTCAAGACAGGGTTTCTCTGTGTAGCTTTGTGCCTTTCCTGGATCTCACTCTGTAGACCAGACTCACAGAGATCCGCCTGGCTCTGCCTCCCGAGTGCTGGGATTAAAGGCGTGCGCCACCACCGCCCGGCTGCATCTGCTTCTTTATTGCAGATGCCCTCTGACCAGTGGCCAGAGGTCCTGCTACCATGACTTTCTCACCATAATGGACCATAACCTCAGACTGTGAGCTGAAACAAACCCTTCCTTTCTTAATTTGCTTTTGTTGGGTTTTGCTTTTTGCAGCAACAAGAAAAATAATTAATATAGCTCCCACTGATTCTTTCCTAAAATAAAATCCTTGAAGATTAAAGGCTCTTTAGAAGCATAGCCCAAACTCCCCAGGCTGCAGCTAGAGGCCCTGAAGTCTTTGCCTGTGGTAACACTCATGTTCCTGGTTAGTGTCAGACTCATCCAGAGCCACTGTGGACACAGGGACCATGATGGATGTCACTGTTAGAGGGATTCTAACCTGAGCACACTTACCCTGTGGCTACCATGGTCTCTTATTACAAGATAAGACTCCTGAGGGATCAGGCATTGGGCCACATGACCATATAGCCTGCATAGTGGGGCAGAGCCTTTGGCCTTGGAGGATCAGCAGGTGGTTTCAGGACTGGTCAACCTGCCTCCATTTCTCCTAGGGCTTGAGAGACCTGGGCTAAGTCACTCTCAACTCCCTCCAAAGTCAGAGTTCCTCTCGGAAGTACACTGAAAAGAAGCCCACCACCTGGACCTTAATCACTATTTCTCCTACTGGTTCGTTAAGGCCCCAGAGGCAACCAATAGGTGAAGTCTGTCTGCTTCATGCTTTTGTGCCTGGAGAGCAATGAGGTTTTCAGTGGAGCTGAAAGACAGTGGAGTCCCTGGAATTTTTCCCAGCTTCTGCCCCAGTGACAGGCCGCACGGTGCATATGCCAGACACTTGCACAAGAACTTCTGACCTGCCCTGTTAGCAGGAATGAAGGATGCCACTCAGATGTTATGAGCTTTTTCCTCTGGTCCAAGTGTCCTTGAGTCTCCTCCAATTGTCAGCAGTGGCTGGACTATTCAAATAGAAATCATAAGAGGAGATCAAAGAGAAAGACAGAAATGATCAAAGACTGGACTCTGTCCCCATGCTGTAAGGACTGCTGTGCCTTCCCAGAATTCATCATGGTGAGTCTCCCATCTTGGGATTGAGAACGATGCCTCTGAGGTTGACTACCCTCCTATCTATCATATGAGCAGCTGGTAGCCTCCCGGAGCCTCCCAGGAGTCAGTCTGTCTTAGCTGTTATGGTTTCCATAGCTGTGATGAAACACTCTGACCTAAAGCAACTCGAAGAAGAAAGGGTTTCTTTCCAGCTTTCAACTCTCAGGTCACACTCCATCACAGAAGGAAGTCAGGGCAGGAGTTCAAGAAAGGAACTAGAGGCAGGAGCTGAAGCTGAGGCCATGGAGGAGTGCTGCTTACTGCTTTGCTCCTCATGGATTTCTCAACCTGCTTTCTTATACAATACAGGACCACACGCCCAGGGATGGCACAGCCCAGAGTGAGCTGGACAATCTCTCATCACTAATCAATCACGACAATGCCCCTAGGCTTGCCCACAGGCCAGTCTGGTGGGGAAATTTTCTCATTTGAAGTTCCCTCTTCCAAAATGACTCCAGCTTGTATCCAGTTGACACAAAACTAGCCAGCACACAGCTTTTTCAGCTTTTTCTACATGGCCAGTCCTTCTGGCCGTCTGTTTCCATCTTTCCTCTGTAGATTGAGCCAGACCTTGGAGGTGAAGCCACCGATTTAGGGAAAGCACAAGAGACTGTGTAAACCTTGACATCACCACTGCAGCCCCTGGCAGGCATGTGGGGACATGCTATCTGGGCACCTGCCTGTGGATCTCTTCTGCCCCAACTGTCACTGTGCAATTATCATGGTGATTTGCTACTTTTCTTATTTCCTTCCCATTCCGTACTTGGAATTACTATATGAAGTGTGTTTGGTGATCTGCTACCGTGTGTTCACACACAAAAATGGATTCTTTATCTAGACCCCCGGGCACCCTTTTGATGGCACTTTCTGATTTTTGAACTCTAATTCTCCTGTATCTTCAACCCAGCATGATAATCAGCTGTTGACTGTGTTCCCTCCCCGTCCCACACCTTCAGGCTAGTCACTTCCTTTTTCATGCAGTGAAGTAGCTTTATCCTCAAACTGGACAAACACACAGGTTCACCCAGAACATGCCACCACATTCGACAGTGTTACTCAGTGTTGCTGGTTAGCTTTTGACAACGGGGTATATGCTGGAGTCATCTGAGAAGAGGGAACCTCAAGTGAGAAAACGCCTCCATCAGACTGGCCTATGGGCATGTCTGTGGATTGATGTGGGAGGGCCCAGACCACTGTGGGTATTTAAAAAGCAAACTGAGCAAAAAAAAAAAAGAAAAGAAAAGAAAAAAGAAAACTGAGCAAGCCATGAGGAGCAAGCCAGTAAACAGTGTTCCTCTGTGGTTCTGCCTCAGTTCCTGCCTTCAGAGTCCTGCTTGAGTTCTTTCTCTGATTTCCCTACATGATAGACTATATTCTGAAAGATGAAATATACCTGTTCCCCTCCATGTTACTTTTGGTCATGGTATCCATCACAGCCTTAGAAAGTGAAGTAGGACAGACCACCAGGCTTCCCTCTCCAGGCAATTGCACCCTGACCCGAGCCTGGAAGCACAGTTACACCTTGCCTGCATTTTGCTGTTTCTACTGCACCATAAACATGGACCCTACAGTGGAGAGCCCCCATGGCCCAGATCCTATCAGCTGGAACCCTCATGCTGTGTGAATGAAGGCTGGTTCTCTGTTGGACAGTGCAGTGTGAAAAAGCTTCTCAGGACATCCAATGCCAAGCTGCTGTGTGAGCATAACCTTCAATAAACTTGGGTAAAAGCCTAAGAGTAGGAATCCATAGCCTATAGCCAGGGACGAGAGTTCCACATCTATGTCTGCCATTGACACAGTCATGTGGTTTAGATGCTTTGCTTTCATTTTGTTGTTATTGTTTTGTTTTGTTTGTTTGTTTGTTTTTTCTCTTCCTTCATCTATAATTTAATTATATTTTAGTTTGAGGGAGTCATTTGCTTTCCTTGGTTGAGAGTGCACCAATGGTTCAAAAACTGTTCATCAGGAAGTTCCTCTTTTCCTACTTGAACGAGCTAAAAGAGAGGGGTTCTCAACACCAACAGCTTCCTTTATGAGCAATTTCTGATTCCCTATTCCAGACCGAGGCACTAGCCACTTCTAGATTTTTCTAGAAGTCAGCCTTTGTGGCTTAGAGGTCCTCTTTCCCCACTCCCTGATGTGGTCTTGTAAGCACTGGGCATTTTACTGGTCTCCTCCTGAGTGACACATGACCTCGACACCTGAAACTCTATCCTTGCAGCACAGGAGATGAGACGAGTAGACCATGTCCTCAGCTCCAATGATTGTGCCACACAGCACACATGGGGACCCTGCCCTACTCTCCACAGCTCCATAGCTGTCTGTCATCCCTATGGTCAGAGGGACCGGTGGTTCTGATGCTACATTCTATTGCTTCATGGTCAATGCATGAAGAATGAACAGCGGGGAAAGAAAGAGCTAGTGGGGGGGACCTTTACGCCATCATGCCGCCATCTTAGCCCCTATATTCCGGGTCCATCCTCACAGCTAGTGAGGCAGCCCTTTGTGACCTGTGAGCCTTGCTCTGTCCCTGCCTGGTGACAGGCTGTGGACCAGCCGTACTCAGATGGTGCAGGACACAAAGGAGGGATCCTTCACTGAGGCAGGTGTAGGAGTAGATCAGGAAGATGCCGGGAAGAAAGCCGCAGAGACGAGGCTGAAATGCAGGCCCGGGAGATCTTGATGGCAGGACCTGTATGTAATAAGCCTTGGGGCAGGGGCACCGGGCATGCAATGCATAGTGCTCAGGGCAGGCCGTGTGGCTGGGCAGACTGGACCTGCACAAGGCCCTACAGGGCACCCTGTGGTGGTTTGGATGAGAATGGTGCCCAAAGGCTTATGTATTTGAATGTTCCATCCCCAGTTGATGGAACTTTTTGGGGAGGATTAGGAGGTGTGGCCTTGTTGTGTCACTAAGGCTGGGCTGTGAGGTTACAAAAGCCCCTGCCATTCACAGTGTCTCCTTCTCTTCCTCATGCTTGTGGATCAGGGTGTGTGCCTGCCTACTGCCATGCTTCCCGACATGATGGTCATGCACTCTTACCCTCCGGAACTATGAGCCCCAGACGAAATGCTTTCTTTCATAAGTTGCTTTGGTCGCAGTATTGTTATCACAGCAACTGAAACATAAGTAAGACACACCCATCAGCAAGGGCAACCCCACATCACTGGGTCTGCTTGGGGGTACCCAGGCTCTCTGGGGACTTTTCAGTAGCTGTCTCAGGGTTACCACCTCTCTTACCTTCCCTGCAACCACCGCTCCTTCCTTGTCTGGCCCACAAGCATCCTTCCTCAACTTTCCTGCAAAATCAGTGTCCCCTAGAGTGAGAAAAACTAAGTTCTCGACCATGTCTAGGAAAATCAGCGAGGCTCCTGGTGTAGGGTTTGCTTTGCAACTAATTGTGGTGAGGCTGCTGAGGGGAGCCCTGTGACCTGGGCTGCCTCAACTCCAATCTATCCTTACTTATGATGAGTGTTGATTCACATTCAGACCATTGAGAGGAGATGAAGAAGAAACCTACCCTACTTGTGCCTGCGTTTGTGTGTAAATGGTAGGAGAAAGAGCTGAAGGAAGATGGCATCTGCGGGGCTTAATTTCTTCACTATGACATCTTGAGCCCCCAAAAGTACATTTCTATTTCTGTCCACTTCAAAGTCGGAGATGTAATGCAAGTACCTACCTGTGCTTTATGGTGGTTCAGGAGAGGAAGAAGGGGGGGCCGGAGCCCAGAGGGTGGGCAGAGGCAACACACTTCTGACAGGAGAGCAATCTTGAAACAGCGGCATGAAAACACAAAGCTGTACGAAAACTGTTTAAGAGACAGAGACTCGGGTTTGGAGCGAGGAGAACATGCCCTCTGACACAATTTGCCATCGCGTTTAAGTTTGCTCTGTGGCGGCTTTTAAAATAAACACAATTCGCACATCAATATAGATGAATTACTTCAATTCTATCTTCAGAGGCGTCTATGAATAAGCAAGTTATCTGGATGCTGTAACACGGGGTGATGAACGCAGCCGCTGCTGGCTGGCAGGGCTGGTTTTGATTGCTTTGATTTTGACACATGGCAATATATTCCCAGATAGAAGCCAAGAAAAATATCTTTTCAAATTACAGAAATTCATAAATATGCAAATACACCAAACAATGCCATGTCCAATGTCTCTGCTTGGCTTCTCATTGGTTTTTGTTTTTTTTTTTTTTTTTTTTGGTTTTTGTTTTGTTTTGTGTTTTTTATTTTTGTGTCTAACAGCAGATTCCCAGCCGTCCCAGCAACTCCACATGTAAAGCAGACAAGATGCACGCCATGGTTAACTCAACATTTGAGAGATGACCCCCTGGAGACTGTGTGCTGCACAATACTCCCACTGCACAATAAAACTCAAACAGAGAATAACGTCCAGGGTGACACCCGGAAATACAGCATACGATAGCCTTTCTCCTAATTGTAGGAAACCAGGTGATCTTAACAGAAAAAAGTGAGAAGCTATCTTCCCACCACTTACAGGGGTGTCTTCCTGAGGCACACCTGGGAGCCATGGAGTTCAGGGTGACAGCCATGCCTGGACCATTCCTCCAGGGGACTTGGTTTCCTCCTTCAGTGGCCCTAGAAGACAAAGGATTGAAGTGTCTCAATAGAATCCCCACCACAGAACATCTGCTGTACCTCAACAGGTATCCCCTAGCCCCAGGTTCCATCTCAGAGAGGAAGATGGTCTGTCTTGGTTTAGCATTTGCACATGCTGCTGTAACTACCAGGCTGTTCTCAGGACCCAACAAGGCACCTTGTGTCCAGCATCCAGGAGTGTAGAAGCAGATTTGGCAGGGAGACACTGCCCTTAAATGTCTGGGCATGTAGGATGCTTCCCTAGCATGCAAGAGGCCCTAGGTTAATCCTAAGCACCATGTAAATTCAGCACAGTAGGACAGCACTGTAATCTCAGGGGGTGGAAGGTGTGGAAGGAGCTTTGCCACAAGTACGGAACAGGCTAGGCTATAAAGTGAGACCAAGTCTCAAAAAGAAAAAGAAAAAAAGTAGGACTGTGGAAACAGGGGGAGCATCCCTGCAGGTAACTATGACCCCTCTCAGTAGGTCAAGGTTGACAAGAATCAGGACACTGTGGGTGAAGGGAGGAGCCAAAGGAGGCACTTGCAAATGCCCTGAGCATCCTCAGAGGACTCACAGGAAAACAGAATCCTAGACACTCCTGGGGAGGACACAGGGAGGGATCCACGTGGCTGCTGTCAGTGGAATGCAACGCTTTTGTTAAAGGACAGAAATACTTAATTTTGATCTTTAAATCCATAAGGTACAGGACTTATTGTACACCTCCTGGCTCCCATCAGGACTCACACAGAGACCAAACATTTTTGTCACACAGTCATGTGTATGGGTTGCTCAGAATCCAGAGAGCATGTGGGGTCTATTGTAGCCAGCTGGTGTCCGGGGCAGAAAGAGAAAAAAAAATGTAAGAGTCGTTCCCTCCATCCTTTCAGGACCTGATGGCCACAGCAAAGAAATCAGCCTGGGCACACAGTTCTCAAAGGCCAGCCCCAAGGCCATGAAACAATAGTGTGGTGCAGAAAGACCATGAATTCGCTGATATCTCAGACAAGATTCCTGCCCATGCCAATGAGGCCAGCCACATGTTGGTAAAAACAGGCACACATGTCCACACAGGGAGGCACTGATATGGATAACACACACACACACACACACACACACACACACACACACACACACCACAGAAAGAGACAAAAGGGCCCTCTATCAAAGGGACCGTGATCTCCACCTCCAGCCAACACCACCTTATGGGAACAAAAGCTAGCACCAACCCACTCCCCTTGAGGATCATCTTCTATTTGTTTCTGGATTCTTGAAGGAAGAAAAGAGGAATGGGAGAACAATTCTGAAAGGGGGAAATTTCTGACGCTCAAGAGAGGGAAAAGAAAGGACCCAGCATGGGCTCCTGATGGAGCAACTGAGATGGAGGAGCCTCCACAAACTGGGCCAGGAAGACCCTTGGAGCAGCATCCTCAGCAAGCGTGGGAAATGGATAGCAGAGGTGAATTGCTTCATGTGCCTACACCTGGAGAAAACCTGGAAGCAGCTACCAGAAGCTCCAACTGAAGATACTGAGTATGTGTATGTTTGATGTCCTGGTGCCCTGATGGGGGTTAGACTACACGGACTGCATCCTCCTCATCCATGGTGACCATGGTGACCATGGTCCACTTGACTCTTCCCATTGAATGTGTTCATCATAAAAAATAAAAAAGCTCTAAACATTCAAATACATCATGTCATTTTCTATCAATATTGCCTTGGCATGTGATGGAGCCCATTTTTGAAAGCCTGGCCTGCTCAAGGCACACACAAATAAAAACATGTCATTGATGTCAGAGTCCACACAGGGCAGTGCAGACTTGTCCAGACCCTCCCAGAATGCTCTGACAACTTGGATTTGGGTGAGCAGCATGGAGGACATAGTTCCCTTACAATGAATTTTCCTGTTTCTCTTATTTTTCTCAGTCTAGAGGAACAAAACATATGGTTTCTTTTATTTGAAAAATCTCTAAGCAGTCGGGTGTTGGAATATCTTTTTCAAACATTTGTTAGATGGTTGGTTTCCTCCTTTGCCAACTTTTTAATAATATGATGTGTTTCTTGGATATTGTAAATAATAATCATGGTCTGTCGTTTGCACTAAGAGTAATCACCCATATATCACTTTTATATCGACCATCAAAATATTTTAATTTCTATTTGGACACAAATGACTTCCCTTTATGGCTTCCAAATTCCTTACTAAGAATTACTTCCTCATTTGTAGATTACATACGACGCTCCAAGACTGGCTCCCCTGTGTAGCCATCATTATGATGATCACCATCTCCGAGGCTGACGCTCCATCTGGATTTGTGACTCTGTCAGGTGTGATGCTCCACTTCCATCCAGACTGGGCACTGCTGAGCTGGCAGCAGCACCGTGTGTTACACCTGAAGCTGTGCAGGGTGGGTCCTAGCAGTCATCTCCAGAACTGGGAGTAGAGACAGGAGGATCAGAAGTTTGAGGCCAACCAAGGCCACCCCAAAAGAAAGAGAGGGTGTTTGGAAGCAGAGAAAGAGAGAAGGGAGGGAGGGAAGGAAGGACAGAGGGAGGGACAGAGGGATGGAGGGGGAAGAGAGGAAGGGAGGAAAGAAAAAGGAGAAGAATGGTGGACTGGAGGAAGGAAGAAAGGAAGGATGGAAAGGAATGAGGGAGGGAGGGAGGAGAGAGAGGAAGGGAAGGGAGAAAGGAAGGAAAACGGGGGAGATGAGGAAGGGCAGATAAGGGAAAGAAGGGGAGAGGAGGAAGAGGAGAAGGAGGAAGAAGAGGGAGGGAGGAAGGACAGAAAGAAGAGAGGAATGAAGGAAAGCATGGAAGGAGGGAGGCTGTCATTCATCTCTTATCTGGATACCAGTCCTCCTGGCTCAGACCCCTACATTAGCTTCTGGTTCTGAGCTCCCTACATCTCTGTGCTGAGCTTTTCCAGCCCTGGGCCAGAACCATGTTGATTTGCTTCAAACAGTGTAGAAAAGAGCTGCCATTTGGCACCAGACAATGTTGCAATTATTCTTTCTCAGTTTCCCTGACTGTTCTGGGGAGTTTGTCCTTTCCTGCCAACTTTCAGACCATTCGACAGAGTGCCTTACAGGCTGAGGGTAGGGTGGGAGAGGAGAGTCTCTGGATCTGGCATCTGCAGGGTGAGTGGTCACACCAGACTCCCATGCTCTCCACATCCTCTGATGGAATGATGGGATGATCTACCAGGAGGGCTGCGCCTCCACAGGGAAGAGGTTTCCTCTGCATTGTGCAGCTTCTGTGATACTGTGAGCAAAGCCTTTCCCCTCCTTTTCCTTTCTTGGGTATTTTTTTTTCTATTGTAAGTAAAATTATTGATTTCTCTAAACTCATCTTGTGTCTAGCTGTCTGACCAGCACTTTGTGAACATTTCCTTCGGAGTCAATACAGGTAATTTGTATTTCCCCTCACCATCAACCATTTCATCTGGATTTCAAGTTTGGTATTGTACCGTCGCAGAGAGATTTCCATGGCAAAGTGTCCTTTCATTAATCCTATGCAGCCTCTGCTGGAGACCACTTGACACAGTAACAACCCTTCTGAAATCCATAAAACATGTATAGTCTCACTCTTACTTTTTTTTTGGATTAGATTTGCCAGACATTCATCTATTTTATTAGTCTATTAAAAGAAATCGTTATTTAACTTATTTATAAATCCTCTCTGTGCCTTTCTCCCCACGGGCTGTTTTCAGCTTTTGGTCTCTTTTGCCAGGAATCCTCGTTTCTTTGATCTTGCTTAGTCTGTTGCCATCTCCTTTAACTCAATATTGAGCTCTCTTTATTTGTTTTGTCTTAGAAGATGAGATGCTGGAAGATTTGATTCCTCAACCAAGAGTAGGGACCTCAAACCTTTACCATCAGCAGGTCACTCACATTTTGGGAGGGACATGTACCATGATTTCCTAGGCCGGGCTTGGGTGGACTGTCCATCACGGGCCTGTCTTCCCGTCACAGTGGAGGCACCTCCAGGAGTGGCAGAAAAAGTGATTCCCCCATCTAGGAAGCTGGAAGAAGCGTGTCACGTGACTAGAAGTGGGCCTTTCGCATGCTCTGGGAACAGACATCAGTATGGGAGTGTTGCATGGCTGTTACCTCTGAAACATTCTCTCCTGGAAAGAGGCTCATAGGACTCAGAGAGCAAATGAATTCTATAAAAACCCAGTATGTATAAGAAGTTCCATGAAGATCCTGACATTTACAAGATATACAAGGCCCTTCCCCAAGACTAAAAGACTCTCCTACTAGCCAAGGTGCCTACACGCTGTGCAGGGAGCTCCGGGGAAGCATCCTTTGTGAATCATGGTCCGTGATTGGGGGAGATGCTGCAGCTGCTTTTGGGCCACTCATGTTCCCGCAGGTAACCCAGTACCCACATAAAGAGTATCAGCTCAGTATAACCTCAATAAACTCACTGGCTCACTAAGCTAAACCCAGGTGGAATTGTTTCTTTGCTTTGTCATCAGCACTCTATCAAGGGTGAATAGACATTTGTTCATACTTCCCCCAAAGAAAATCTCACAACAGGAAAAAAGGATTCTCTCCATGCTCTGGCACTGAGAACACCAGCCCAGCTGACTGGTCAGCAGGGAATCCAGGTGGCCCTGGAAGCCAAACCAAGATGAAGGTGAGGCTTGGGTCCTGATACCAAGTCTGTCCCTGTGAGCCAAAGCCCCTGGGACTGGTTCAGGCTGGCTTTAGCAGTTTTTCATAACTTTGCTTTCCAGGAATGCACAGATGGGGCGGGTGCCTCCAACTGCTGTGTTTTCTTCTCCAAACCTTATTGGGTTTTCTGCTCTTATAAGGCTGTATCTCATTGTGTTAAGAATTTGGTCCATGAAATGTTCACCTGTGCCACTGAGATCTTTCTTTCGAGTGTTCTAATCTTTTATTTCCCCCAGTGTTCCAGGGGACCAGGGACATGTGATGAATTTTGTGCTTTGAGACCTACAATATGGGTTTATTCTGCTCCTTATCCCCTCCTG